GAGATGCAAATTCAATACAACAAACTGAGAGCCGTTAGAAACAAACAGTGTCTCTGATGTTTTGGTCTAAGCGCAAAACAAGGCGCTGACGTGCTTCTTGCTTGTTGGGGTTTAGCTTCTGTCATCACGTGTTCTTACGTTTCTGCTCAGATGAACGTTTCAGGAGTTTTGCCGCTCGGTCAATTGGAGGCCAAAAATAGTCTCGAGGAGTTCTGGAGGCGTCTGGAGCAGAAATATGATCCGTCTCCGTGCCGTGACCTGAGAGTGAAAGGGTCAACGATCAGCTGAGCACCTTGAAATGTGCCGTTACTAAACAGCACATATGACCTGTTTGAAGACAGCAGCGCCTCTTGATTAGCTAAAATATATAGTTTTTCATGTTGATGTTGAATATTTTACTAGTTATTAGGTAAAGGAATTCACCGACATGATTCAACATGAAATTTGAAGATTATATTTGTGTTTAATTCTTTTACCTGTGCTGGAAAAGAGCTGAGAGCAGATTTAAGGATTGAGCTGTTTTGCGGCGCTTCAATGGAAATATTCACTCTGACAGATGTTAAACTGCTGTTTTCCTTTAAAAAAACATTTTTTTTTCATTTTTTAATGATTATACACAATCTAGAAGGTGTCTGTTGTTGTGTATGAGACTTTAAACAATTAGATCAGATATGATCGGTTTTAAACCACTTTGTGGTGCAAGTGGTTTGTATTTGACCGCAGTGTGACGTAATAAATATTAAATCACTTTTTTTTTCTTCCCTCAACCTGTTGAGTTTTGTGTCGCCCAGCTGATTTGAATTAAATCTAAAACACGACATAAGAGTAGCGGTAGAAAGACCAGCTGTGCACAGCTGCATCTTGAGCAAAGAAATTAAAAGAAAACTGAATTGTTTTGCAATACCGTACTTGCCGTTGTAAAGTCACACTGCCGTATAAGTCGCATCAGTCCAAATGTGTCGAATAAAGTGAAAAAATAAATAAATAAATAAGTTGCTTCGCTGTATAAGTTGCAGGGCATGTTAATTAATGTAAAAAGCTGCAACTTATACAGCAAAAAATACGGTAATTCCATGTTTAATGCAAAAGTAATCATATCCACACCTCTATACAGCCCTGTGGGAAGATGCTGCACCACCAGATTTCCAGTTAAAGTCCAAAATCTGTCACTGGCTGTTGTTTCAATACTCTGTGTAAATAACATGCAAAAAATGAGTGCATAATAAAAAAAAATTCAACAGAAAGCAGACTGAGGTGTTTCTTTAGATAAAAACGCTTCCACACACTCAGTAAGAAATCACACATTTGTTTGAATCTATTTACATATGTTTCCACGTCAAAGTAAAATATTTAAAGTCGTATGGCTTTAACATCTGTGGAACAACAAATACCTCATCGTTCAACTCAAATACACATTGGAGTCTGAAGAGTAAAGTCTTTGCATGAATTGAAACACAATAAATATGCATTTAAGGATAATCAGTTATTCCAAATTAATATTTGGAAATTAATGAATTCATATTTGTAGTAAACTTTGGCTGCCCATCATAGTTCTACTTATGATGATGCACAATGCTTCATTGGTTTTGGGGGAAAATTCAGCACATTTGAAAATATGTTTATGCGACCATATTATTTATATCATTAATATTATTAGACCTTTATTTAAACAGGTTAGTTCCCATTGAACCCAGAAGACTCATTTACAAGAGAGACCTGATTGATATACATATGTATGTATATATATAT